GGTGGGGGTGGGAGGAGACTGAACAGCTGGTGTTGGAGCAGCTGGGAGAGCATCGGGACGGGATCCGGGGTGTTCTACGGATGTCGGACACGGGGAGCTACAGAGGAGCTGGGATTCAGAGAATAAGCCAGGCAACCCACTCAGGCAGCTTCTACTTCATGAAACAAAATGAGAGCCACAAAGACAGAGATGTCACCTCCGGCTGGGACGCAAACCCCAGAGCCAAGTTCCTCGGCTCTGCACATGGTACACGGGGAGTGCTGGGTGCTTTACGAAGCCGAACTGTGTAACCACACGCTATCGAGCCTCTCAGCCTCCCTCCTACAAGGCTCAGGGCCGGGACAAAGTGGATCCGGGCTCCGGGGGAGCTCCTGACCGCTGCTCCTGCAATCGTCCACCGGAGAAAAGGGCTGGATCTGGGACTCCGCAGACTCTGGAGCACAGCCCAGCACCAGGAGGTCTCCTCGCTCCTGCCTGCCTGCAGGTCTCTTGTCACTTGTGGGAGGTTCAGCTTCCACCCTTCAAGCTAAGGCAAGCCAAGAATCCCATTTTCTTATTTCCTGGAAAACTCTTCCAGGTTTATACTCCTCCGTCCCGCTGTTACATCCTCCAGTGAGCACAGCTGCCATGGTCCAGACCCTGCGCTCTCTGCATGTCTCCAACATGTCTCCCACACCCAGCACGGTGCCAACCCTGGATCCCAGCCACGCCGAGGATGAGCACCAACATCCCTGCTGCGGGCCAACGCCCGGCAGGCAGGAAACTTCCAGGTAAGGAAAGAGGGAGGCATCATTCCCATTTAGGAACAGGCAGCTGCAGGGCAGATTTTTCTTGGATCACCATTTCAGACTTGCCACATTCAAGCCTTGTTTTAGATACCCAAATCCATCACCTGGCAGAAAGAAGCCACCAGCGGAAACTGGAGGGCTGATGCCAACAGCACCGATCAGATCAAGGGCAAGAAGAGAGGATCCAACCTCCAACAGTTGCTTATCTCTGACCCCGCGAGGGAGAGCAACATCTCTGGGGCAGCAGAGGCACGGGATGACGATTCGGTAGCCGCGCGCAGGGCGAACCCAGGCCAGAGCACCCCGTGGCCGGCCGAGCGAGCTGACTGCACGTGGCTTTTCTAGCTGCTCTCTGCCTCCTCCCCGCAAGCGAAGCTGATGGGAGCAGTCCCTGGGGAACAACAGATGTGGGGCAACCCCAAGGAGGAGCAGCAGATGGACGCAAGGTGATAAAATGTCTCCCTCAAGCGGGAGGAGAGGACAGCAGCACAGCAGCAGGGATGAAGGCGGCAGGGCGAGCTGGCTGGCCTGTCTGCATCTCCCCAGCCGGGGCTCAGAGCCAGGTCTAAGCGCAGCTTCGACAGGAGAAGGCTGAGCAGGCACCTCAGGCTGGTATTCAGAAGAAAAACCACCCCAAACCTCCCTGTACTTCTCAGCAGCTTTTCGCCAGAGGCTCTCACAACCCTTTCTGAATAATTCAGCAACCTGCATAATCTCTCCGGAGGACGGACGTTTTGCCATCTGCATTCGACAGCAGATACCGGGGAGTGACCAGCCGCAGTCGCACAGCCTGGGAACTGGCTATCCTGGTCAGTCACGCCTGCGTGAGGCTTTCCCAGCACCGGGAGCTCCTTGCTCCAGCTGCAACATGAAACACCCTCTACCTACAGAGCCCAGGACTTTGAAAGCCATCCGGTCTACCCCGTGCTCTCTGGAGACCTGGTATCGCTCCTCTAAGCGTCCGATTACTCCCTGTACAAGCTGCTGTTGAGGACCAGGCAGAAACGCTTGCCACTAAAAGCCTCCTGTAAAAGGTGAAGCCGTTTCCCTGCAGTTACAGGTTCTTACCTCCTTCCTCCACTTGAGCTCGCAGAAAACCCGTTCAAAGCACTCGTGCATGTAGTTGAACTGCAAAGAGAAAGCAGGCATCTCTCAGAGCAGCAGGCAGCAGCAGGCAGCCCCAGACAGCCGTCCTGGCTTCCAGCCGGAGGGAGTCTGGCACTGGTTGCCAGCCCAGAGCTCCCCGTGCTGCGGGCTCCTCCTGGTGGCCACTGGCCCCTGCATCACCTCCCGCCCCAAAAGCTGGAGCACAGGGTGCTCCTCCAGCTTCTAGAGGGAAAACAAGCAGGCTCTGGGCTTTTCCGTAGCAAATCTGCAAAGAACAGGGGTACTTACGTAGGGGGTGAAGATTTTAACCCATCGGGGTTTCTTCTCTCCTCGTGCGTATTCAAAACAAAACGCCATTCCCTCTTCGTCCGTGTCCCACCGCTGCATTTCGTCCCATTCGAATGCTATTACCTGGTTCTGAAGGAAGACAAAACCCAGGTGAGGCCAGAGCCCAGCAGACTGCGAGGAAGGGGAGGTTTAAGGCAGATGAGGTGGCAAAAGTGAAGCCATGCGAAGGGGGAAATGAGGATGCCTCGGACAGCCTTGCTGCAAAGACAGGTATGAGCCAAGGAAGCAGCAGTGGAAACACATGCTAACACCCAAAGAGCAGCCAGATAAACCCCTGCGTTCCCAACCACTGCCAAAATCCCTTCGGAGGCCTCTCAGCAGCAGTCCTGAGCCCCAGAGCTTGGGGGACACGGTGCTGGGGCAAAGCCGAGGTAGAGTCCAGGGGCTGAGCCCAGCTCCCCGGGACCTCGCAACGGCAGAAACACCCTTACCTCCAGCTGGCCCTCCTCTGTGCAGGCATGGAGTTTAAAGTGCTTAATGCTGATGGCTGTGATCACATGTCCCTTCCGCCGAGAGTCACAGGAGCAATGGGGGAAGATGATCTCGTTGTAACCCTCGCACGTCCGTAGCATGTTTAAATACTGCGGAGAGAAAGCCGCCGGCGTTAGCTTGCTCGGACAAAGGGAAGGGGACCCCTGCATCCTCCCGCTTCTCACATCACCTCCACCTCTCACATGTCCTAGTGCTAATCGCCCCTTTGGATACCCCTGGCTTTACCCCAGCCCAGGGAGGCTGGATCCCCTCCAAAGGAAACCGAAAACCCAGAGGCAGCAGGGCTGTGCTAGGGGAATGCTACCCCTAGCACACCAATTCTACCACACTACCAGCTACCCAATTCCCCTCCCCAAAACGTGGATCCATCCAGGTACAGACGTGCACAGAGCTCCTCGCGGCCTCGAACACCTAAAGCCCTTTCCAGGAGAGCTGATGCAGCCGGAGTCACTGATCAGCGCGACCATGCTCCCCCGGGAAGGGTATGGATCTGAGCAAACAGCTAAAGCAGCCCCGGGACCGAAAGCACCGCTCTCGCTAGAGCCATGCTCCGGTTCGTTACAGGCTGAAGATGAGACCAGAAAAAAGAGGCTGTCGGGCAGATGTGGGATCCGGGTTTCTCAGAGTCCTTTGATGCAAATGCTACAACTCATGAAAAGGTCCAAAGAGGTATTTTGGCTATTTTTCTTTCGGAGTGAGCCCAGACAAAGCAGCACTGTGAGGACACCGGAGAAGCGCTGGGAGCTCACCGTCACGGCTCGGGACATGGGAGAAGCCAGGAGCTTCTCCAGGGGCCGGTGCTCCAGAGCCCTGCAACCGCTCGTTGCACGAGAAAGGTTTACGCAGGGCAGAACTACAACGAAGACCGAAGTGACTTTTTAACCAAGGAACAAGCCACATCCAGACCGGAGGAAGGGGCCAAATTCTCAAGCATTGCGCTCCAGGCAGGACCCTGAATAACACGGGGGGAGGTAGAGGATGAAGTACTTTGACTTCATAGGCTTTTTGGGACACAGACATTGTCTTCTTGACCTCCTGCTAGACCAGGGCCCTACCGCACCTGGTGTGTGTCTGTCTCTCTGTATATATATATATATATATACACACACACACATATATACTGGGATATACTCTTTCCAAAGATTCAGATCTCTCTTTGGTCGTTAGAAAGCCAGCGATCCAAGCAGAAACAAAAGATCCATGAGACAACCCACAGGAGGAAGCGTCTATTTACTGATCCTTATCATTAGTCAATAATTAACCTCCGTGGCTTAGCATTTCGGGTGACCCTTCCGGGGTCCACCCCAAGGCGGTCCCCCAGCAGGGACCTCCGAGAACTACCGCAGTCAAACGGGCTTTGAGGAGAGGCCCGACCAAGACCAGCCAAGGCGGAGAAGGGGATTCCCAAGGCCATTGCTCTTCGAGAGCGGCCAAGCTGGCCACGGGAACGCAGGCGGGGCGCAGCGAGCCAGGGAAAGGGCAGCCTGCGTTCTCTCCGTACCAGCAGCCCCGAGCAACCCAGGAAGTTATTTACAAGTCAGATTCTTCTGCTGTTTGATCTTCAAGGCAAGCTTGCGTCTGGCAGATGAGCTCAGGGCATCCCCTTCACTCCCCCACGTCCAAGCCAGGCAGGCTCATCGAGTCATACCAAGCCCCCAGGCATTTGCTTGGACGAAGTGATAAGAGACAGAAAATCCCTGACCAGACAGCGAGCTCTGACACAGGGTTTGCAATCCGGGAAGACTTCTGCCAGACAAAAAAAAAAAACAAAAACCAAAAAACGAAACTAAGGCACAGAGGGGGCAGCAACTTGCATTACGAGCGGGCCAGGACCCTCCCCTCCCTCGGCTAGTCCAGCACCACCATCTCAGAGGCAGTCTGAGGCAGAGAGAGACCTTTGCCTCTCAATTACTAGGAAGAAACAGCCGTCCCTGAAGGGCTGCAGGTGAAGGATTGCTACACCACACGTTAAGCACCTCACCTTTCAACACCGGCAATAACCCACAAGGTTTTATCGCTGCCTTGTTTGGAGCCGAGTCAATGGGTGATCTTGCCAAGGACAAGCTGCTGTTCAAACGTGCCAGGCACGTTTGGTTTTGGTTCGTGCAGCGGCCGACCCTCGGGCACGGCCCAGCCCTGCGCCTGGCATTCCTGCGTGCCTGCCAATCCCTCCTGTGCTAAGCCCACACCCCGACAGCTCTCCATGGTTATTGCTTTCCAAGAAAGATGTGTTTTTCAAGGCTGCGTGCACAGAATGGTTTGGGTTTGAAGGGAACTTTGAAGATCATCCAGTCCAACCCCGCTGCCCTGGGCGGGGACATCTTTCATAGATCAGGGCTCTCCATGGTTATTGCTTTCCAAGAAAGATGTGTTTTTCAAGGCTGCGTGCACAGAATGGTTTGGGTTTGAAGGGAACTTTGAAGATCATCCAGTCCAACCCCGCTGCCCTGGGCGGGGACATCTTTCACTAGATCAGGTTGCTCAAAGCCCCGTCCAGCCTGACCTTGAACACTTCCAGTGACGGGGCATCCACAGCTTCTCTGGGCAACCTGTGCCAGTGGCTCCTTTCCAGACGCAGCATTGCAAACAGGAAGGAAAGCAAACGGGACAGGTAGGATAACTCACCATGACCATCTTTCTCTGCTCACACAGCTTCTGTAACTGGTAGGACTTCTCCTCTGCTTTGATGTAGCCTTTCTTGACATCATCAACAGCCTAAACAGAAAAAGGGAAAGGAAACCCAGGAGGTCAGACTAGAGGATCTCTTCACTGAGTCACAATGCTTTGCCTTCCCTGGCTGGCCCCGAGGCTGCTTTGAACAGCCTCCCAAATTCACAGCCCCAGAAGGTGACCAGTGTACCCAGAGAGGCAGAGGGATGGCCAGGCTCAGAGGGGTGGTTCTTCGCACTCGCCAATGCCTGCCACGAGCCTCTGACTGCCTTGGGGAACGAGCAGATGCCTAGGCGTCTAGGAGGACTTTGGAAGAACGTCCCCTGGCACAAGGGGATGGATCTGGAAATGCTGGTACCTGGAGTCCTGCTTTTGCCTTCAGCCACAGGCAAGGACAGGCTGGTACAACCCTTCCACTCCAGACACAGCCGTCTCCAGCAGAGCAGTGCTGGCTTTTACCTACTGTGCTGCTGGAGTGTTGGCATGAAAATGTGTTTTTCGTTCAGGATTGATCAGGTACACGGCCCCTTACTTCCACTCCTCAGCTGCGCGCTCCAGCAAGAACTCCTGCCCCTGTCACAAAGCGGCTTGTCAAACCGCCAGCCAGCAAAGAGCCAGTCTAGGAGATCAAAGAATTTGACAACTGCTATTTTTATTTCGATTTGTAGCAGAGGCTGGTACAGGCCCAGTTCAGAGAACGTTGGGACAGCATTTTTGGCGGTTGAGACAGAGCAGGATTCATATTCCTGAACTCTGCAGTTATCTACCTCTGAGCTGGTCATCCTAGACTGGTTTTATACAGGCAATGGGAGAGCACGGCTCTTCTCGGACTCACTTCATCCCAGAGAATCTGCATAAAGTGAAATCACAGGCAGGAATGCCCCCTTTCCTTAGGGTGAACAGGGAGAAGTCTGTTCCCCAGCTGGTCACAGACATCTTTACTGACAACACACAGAATTGAGGAAAACATACCTGACCCAAGGAGCGCAGCCTCCCAGGATCCTTTTAGCTCGCTCTGGGAAGGCAACTTCCCTGCAATAAGCGTGGTGGAAGCCCTGCCTCCCAGTCCGGTTGTGCCTTGGCCACAAGTTCACCACAGTACTGCCAATTCACCCAACCATGGACTGCTACTCCGTGAAGTTACCCAAGCAGGACTGGCCCTCAATTTCACACTCCGTTGCCAGTACGCCAAAGGATAGTGGTGTTTGGAGCAGTTCTGGGAGCCAGGCACTTGTGTTGCCTTGCCTCCAGTAAAAAATTACAGCTCTCAGGCACCTACCTGATGGAAGAAGTAGGTGACTGCCAGGTCGTTGTCATTGAGAAGAACCTCCTCCTCTGTAGTGAAGAGCCATTTTCGGATGGTCAGGCACGTTCCCGGCACCGCCGAGGTGTAGTTCTGCACGTAGAGTTTGTGGGGGAATTCGTTGGGTGCTAGTTTGCGCACTGGAAAAAGCACAAGACATGGAGGTAAGCACACAGCCCCACGCAGCGTCAGCAGCGTCGTCTGTGACCCCAGCCTGGCTGCCGTACAAGTCAACATCGGCGATGCCCTTTAGCTGAGCCAGCTGGGATCAGGACCCCAGCTCTGCTCCAAGGCCCTTTCTTCTCCTCCCTGACCGAATCCAGCTTTTTTCAATACCTGCTTCCATAGCGTCAGACCACGCTGGTCCTCTAGTGCACAGGCAGGAATCTGCGTGAGACTGAACTCCTCTCGGCCGTCGGGAGAGCTCAGCGCAGCTCTCAAGCATCAGCACAACAGCCTGACTTCATCCCCTGCTATGCACAGGGAGGTCCACCCTGCCTAAGCCTTAGGATCACAGTGCCCTGGACCTACGCAGTGTCCCCACAGCGTGGGGGGACCGGAGACGGTCCCCCCGTCCTGGCAGGCTGCCACCAGAGCCCGGACAAAGACTGCTGCATTGCTCAGCCAAGCTGGAGCAGCTGGGCCACCAGTGAGCCCCTGTCGAGACATTTACTGCGTTCAAATCTGCTTTACCCAGCTACGATGGACGAAAAAAGGCGAGTGCCAGTATGTCTCCTCTTCATCAGGTAGGGATACGGTCACTATCTTACTGCAGATGGAGCTTATGGTTTCCAGAGAAATTAAATGGAGTGTATCCAGACAGGAATAAATGCGGATGTTCGCAGAGAGCGTCCAGAAAGCACAAACCATAAAGGTTAGCTGGAGTTTTTACTTTCCAGGGCAGTTTGAGAAGTGCAGCACTCACAGGAACGAGGAATTAATAGCTCCAGTCAGAGTCTGGCACCGTAAAAGCTTCCTGCGTGAGACTGTGCCAGCGCGCTGCAGCGTCCCATCTCCCAAGAGCAGGTATTCCCGCTCGAGGCTCCCCGTGCAGCCCTGCCTGGCCTCGGCAATCACAAAGCATGTCGACCCTCCAGCCCTGGTCTTCCCTCGCTATATCCGCGTCCTGCTCTGACACACCAGCACCCGGCAACCCTCAAGAAGTGACCACAAACCTGGTGGCAGAGGCAGTTCCGCGATGCCAACAGTTTTACAGGAGACTGGTGTTCTCGGCTGCCCCAGGGTCAGCACCCGAATGCAAACCTAGGCCGTTCTGTGACACGAGTCATTTTAGGAGGACTTGAAGTAGCTAAGAATTGCCCCGGCCATTCAGCCAGAATCTTGTGAGCATGAGGAACAGCCCTAGAAATCTCTTCCTACAAGGCACAGTTTGCCGTAACAACAGGATGAGTTTGAGGCATATAGAGATGACAATCCAGAAACGAAGGTACCCAGCTGGGAGTGAGAAATGCATTTGGCTTAAAACCCAGCACAGGGAAAAAATAAAACACAAACTAACCACTACACCCATTTTGTGGTGTGACCATGACATTTTGGCCTCTCTACAGCTTCAATGAACCCAACGTGAAGCTGGGCGAAATCAGAGATTGCTGCGGCCAGGGATCTGAACAGCAGCCAGGAGACCCCTGCACGCACTAAGCTGGCAGGACGGCAATTACTTAAGTGCCAAAACGGTTCCCCAGAATCCCACAGTCAAGCCTCAAATACCATCAGGATTTAACCACGGAAGGAGAGATGAGAAGCTAAGATGCAGCTTGCAGCACATCCCCTCCAGGACCCGGACATCGACCCACACCTACGGGTACAGACTGAGCGTGCCCTCGATCCACTTTCCTTTCCAGCAAAAGAAAAAATCCGTCCCAAGCCACTGCTGGTGCCCCCCTCCTCCAGAGACGGCTGCGTTGCAGTGACGCTGCCCACTTTTTCTAAGCTCGCTGGCCCCTTTGAACTGAAGTAAAACGCATCTCTCCGTTTAACAAACAGCTCGTCTCCTTGAACTGCTTAAGAAAGGGAAAGTCAAGTGGCAGCAAAAAAAGCCAAACTTTGCGGGCTCTTCATGATCAGAGCCTGCCCGATTCCTCCCGGGGGCTCCTGATTTTGCGAGCAGAGATAAGACCTAAATGAGAGTGCCACTGGGCTGTGCTAGCACTGCAGAGCCTTCTCCTCAGTTGCTCGTCAGCACCAAGGGGATTAAAAGACTTACCAAAGGAGTGATTGATCACTTCAAACAAGGCAAAGTAGTTTGCGGTAATACTGTCCATTCCGACTTTTGCAGCCACAGCCTAAAGAGCAACGGAACAGGAAAACGGGGTGAGAAAAACAGGAGCCAGTAGCTGCCTGTCCCTCTCTGGGGCAAGGCTGGCTTCATACAGGTTATTCCCAAGTATTCCCTAACCCGAGCTGTTAGTTACCACAGAAAACCTGAATTTTACTCTTCCAGTAAAACCAGATGTTTTCTTAAGCAAGGGCTTAGACTGTCCTGCTTTCACCTTCCTGTAAACTGCTCTAGATTTTAAGTGCCACCATGGCTGACAATTAGGTCATCTTTTCTTCTGATGCCTCCAGCTTCGGTTCCTAATAGAAGAGGCACGCACACCTCCCCTAGGAGTTTTCCTCCAACAACATTTCAGTCCTGCACGCTAGTACCACAGCCAACGCTCACAGACCTCGGCGGAGGCGACGTGAAGTTCAACAGGCTGTGTTCCAAACGCCTGCTCTTTCGCAACCCTCTGGCTCCCTCGCTTGCAGCAGCACTTTTATTTCCCCTTTCAAAAAGGGTCTCCCCCACATCATCTTATTCCTCCTAATTCATCAACAGCTTCCACCTTTCCTCCAGCAGTGCTGGTTGAAGTCAGTTGTCCTTAGTTTTCCACTTAAAGCGCTGGGCCTCCGGCCACTCGCAAACCTGTCATCTGGCCAGAGGATTCCCCAAAAGGGTCATTACCCTTAATATTCAACTTGCCGTCCTGCCACACAGCCGCAGCGAGACTCGTGTGTTGGCTGCAGGCAGCTCTTGGATCCAACTCCTCCGCTGCAGCCACTGCAAGCCATAACACACAATCTGCCTAGTGCTTAGAGCCATCCGCCAGCTTTAAGATATTATCAGTGAAAATTAATTCAGCGATGACTCTGTCCTTGCAGCCAAGCCTGCCAGCGAAAACGCTGCTTCAGCACGGCGTGAGGTTAGAGTTCTCCAGCGTCCCTGTCCTCTCTGCTAGAGCAAAGCAGCGTCACCGATGCCCACCTGCACTCGAGAGGAGCAAGTGGGCACCCACGGGGTCTTGGTTAACGTCCGAAACATGTTAATCTTCCAGTCAAGGCAAAAAACCAGCAGCTCACCTGGTACACCTGGTCTGTAGTGCTGTTCTTTTTGACTCTGACTGTCACTGTTGTTATATCTGGTAATGCTACTCGGAGCTCCACGTCCGAGACGCCGTTGTAATTCTGGAGGAGGGAAGAAGAGAAGACAGAAATCAGCATCACACGAGCTGAGCCCCGAGCTCTATGGACTATTTATTGCCTCCCACTGGCTAATTAAAATGGTCACTTCTAACGACCAGCTGCTCTGCAAGCCTCAAGAATCCCATTCCAGCCTGCACCAGGGAAATTCTGAAAGAAGGAAGATGCGAGCTCTGCTCCGAGACAGGAAGCTGAGCAAACCGCTTCAGACCACGACGGGGTAGGATTTTCCATTCACGGGTTTGCCAGCGAAGAGCGAGAGAAAGCTCTGGGACACGGCAACTTAAACGCACCATGGAAAGGCTGGAAAAAGAGCAACAGTTGAAGGGCAAATAGCAACTCACTGCTGCTGCCTGCAACTCAAGTCTCGGGAGAAGCAAGTCAGACAGACCGGTGTTCAGAGTGCCTGCTGCCTTTCTGGCCAAAGGCTGACGAATACAAACAGCTCACAAATGCGAAGCTACCTGGGCTGCCACCAGCACAGAAGCCAGCAGAAAAGTCAGTGAATGCGGTTTTTTAACCGGGTCTCCCCTTGCCAGGGAGCCAAGGTACGCAATGAGGCCTCGTGGCTGGTTCTGCTCTGTGCACGCCTCCGAGAGCGGCAGCAAAGCTGCTCTTAGCTGCCGCTATGGAGAAAAGGTTTCCTATGTGCAGTGACAGGCAGCAAACTGCAGCCTTGATTTTTTGCCACGGTTTTCTATTCAACCAGCTGAGGTTTTCTATTCAACCAGCTGAGGCTTTGGCAGGGAACGTCCTTCCTCTCTGATCCAGTTTTACCAAGCATTTATGGCCTCTGTAACAAGGAAGGTCAGGGCAGAGCTTCAGCGCTGTCGCCTACGTGCCTACCTCGTCCGACTCCGACAGGAACTCCTGCATGATGTCGCTCTCCCCAATGACGCGTATCGAGCACACTGCAGGACAGAGAGTGCAGGTTAGTGGGGTGCCCGGGGAAAGGGGGAGCCCTCCCCTCCCGGGACCGGCCCAAAAAGTGACATGGAAACCAACAACTGTCTGTTCTGCGGGTGGCGTGAAACAAGGGTGGTATCTCCAGCCTAGAAAACCCTTCTCAAAGCAAGTGCTTTCCGTGCTGTATCAGGTGTCCTGGCACGAAGACTGATCCAGCCTGAACCCCCTACAATAGCAAGCAACAAGAGGTGTTGAGTAACTCACTGAGATATTCCCCATGGGTGAAATCCAGGCCCCAGGCACACGGCCAACAGGAGGTTTAGACTATACTTAAAAGTGGGCAAGAACTTCATAAATAGTACTTTTGCCTCTTAAAAAAAAAAGTTATTCCAGAGGGACTGAAACTATTTGGGAATTTATTTAGGCGAAGTTCAGCAAATAATTTGGACCCGAACTGTACCATGTTGCCTCTAAGATGCAACCAGCCTGCCCCTTCCTCCAGCCAGCTGGCAACCGAGGATGAAGATGAACGAGCCGGGCAAGGCAGGGCTGAGCAGGGCGGGGAAAACCTGACCCACGTCCGTCTTAGGGGAAGAGGGGGCTTCGCTCCCAGGTGCCGGGTAAGGGAAGATGCTGTTAACTCACACAAATTAATTGAGCTGCTTCCAGGCAACTAAGAAAATAACACAGCATCACAGGAACGAGGGGTCATTGCGCCCCGAATCCCATCTACAACCTCTTCGCTGCAAAATGTGGGGCCAGATCTTTTAGCCAGGCACTCTGAAACAGAGGTAAGGTTTTGCATCCACATTCCCATCATCTGAACTCAACCTAAAGGAAACTTCTGCTGCAGGCTCTACAATTCTTGATTAAAAAGGACCAAAGCATTCAGCCGTGAGCAAGCTCAGGTTGAGCTGAGCTCCCCTGATGAGAACGGCCTCGAACACGAGTTTCTCCCTGCTCCAAAGCTTCCCTCCTCTTCCTCCTCCCCGCGCTCCCTCATCTCCGAGAGTACTGGCGAGCAACATGACACTACAAATAAAAACTCGTTGTGTGTTAAAAAACTAATTATACATTTGTTGTTGGAAGTGCGCTGCAAGCCGGTAACACATGCATCATTAAGCCATGGCAAGTCTGAGCTCCCTCTCACCACTTCAGCCGTAAAATCCAATCCAGCTACAAACGAGCTTCTTTCCCTCACAGGTAAACAAATACCCGTGAAGTTCTGGACCACCCGTGGAAGGATGTACCCTGAGGATTTGTTTCCCCGCCTGCGAAGAAGGCGGCGTACGGCTGCCTGGGCTCTCCTCCCAGCTCAGTACCTTTCTCCAGGTACTCCTCCAGCCCTCGCCGCCGGGCGTCCAGCTGCTGCTCCGACAAAGAGAATGGCCACTTCCCCGGGAGACGCGGAAAAGTGAAGTTGGCAAATTCCCGTTTCAGGTTCTGGTGGAGGATGGCAAACTCCCGGTACCGCTTTGAGCAGAGCTGGCGGCCCGCCATGTAAACATTGTAGACCTGCAGGGAGGAGAAGAGGCTCACTGGGGTGAGAAAAGTTTTCCAAATCCAAACCGGCACAGCTCTGCCTGCCCGGACCCACAGGCAGCGCAAGACTAAATTAGGAGGGTTTGAACTAGAATGAGAAACTGGTATGAATAGTTAAATACGCCACTGCCAATCCCTGGAGCTGAGGAATGTCCCAGCTACTACCTCCATCTGACAGCAGCAGGATCAGCACGAGTTCAAGGTGCCTTCCTACTCCAAGAGGAGAAGAAAACCACCCAAACCCTTTACAAAAGGCTCTGAGCCCCGACGCAGCCGTCACGGTGCTCACCTGGATCACCTCCTGCACAAGCTGCACACAGGAGGGTGCCTGAGGTGCACCAAGCCACCACCAGACAGATGCCACAGCAATACCGCGCTGACCACACCGCAGTTGTTTTTGGCAACAAGAGCCTCGTCGCCTTCCAGATGCACTTGAAGCTACTACTGAATTTCCAGCCTGTTGCAGAATTGAGCCTCACGTTGCAGCCAAAGCCCCAGAGCTTTGGATTCAGGGTCGTGGCTACTTTCCCCGAGACACAGAGAGGTCCCAAACCAAGCAGGTGGCTTGGTTTGCGTCTGGACACAGCCCCTGGCAGCCGTCAGGCACCAACCGTGGGGAGAAGCAGCGTTATGTATCTTTTAGGAGCACCCCGCATTAACTAGTTTCTTTGCTATGCGTGCACTCTTCCAGTTTCATTCTGGACACCGTTAAGGAAATAGGACTCTGGTCCCAAATAGGGGAAACCCGGAGCAGAGTTACAGTCGCAGGACATTTCTCAGCACTGCGATGCTCTTCAGGGAATTCTCTTCCCTTTCATTAACCAGCCGCCTCCATTTTTAAAGCCAATCTGCTCAGTCTCGCAGGCAAGTTAAACAAGCTCTTATCTAAGCATTGCTAATACGCCCTCAGTGATAAGGAGGTCCCAAACAGCAGCGTTACCTTAATTAGCTTCACACGAGGAAAGGGATGCAGTGGGGAAGAGAGTAGGTTCATGCTTTTTCACGTTGCACAAGGGAAGTGTTTGCAACCACAACCCTTCCTCTCGAGGAGAGCATCACCCTCCACCGTCCTCCCGAAGCCAAAGGGCTGGCAGAGCACAGAAGAGGAGTCTAGCAAGAGGCACGTGCCGACGACACACCGAGGGCGGCTTCAGCAGGGTTCGAAAGACTCAAAACCCCAACCTGCTCCCCAGATAAGGGCCCAGAGCGGTCCCAGCTCGCTCGCCCTCCACGTCTGCGCCCCAGATACCTGCCTGACAACCTTCACAAGGGGAAAGCGCTCCAACAAAACCACAGCTTTTTCCTTAAAAAGAAGCATGCGTTCAACCCTTCCGGCATCACCTCGAGAGAAGGTGCCAGGATGGGGCTAGATCCGAACAGCAGCAGCTACTATCAGTCCAGTGAAGAGGTTCCCTTTGACCCCCCTGCACTGGGCTTAAGAACCTCTGGTTTCCAGGACCCTTTTTCTCCTGCTCCATACGGCACACCTGATCCGACAGCATCCCGCCGGGGCTGGGACAGCAGGGCGCAGGGATAGCACACACTCCCCGTGAGGCCGCGGACCCACAAGGATCCCATCTGTCCCCTTCAGAGACGCGCGCGCCAGGGTGACACGTTGAAGTGACACGCTTTGCACAGGAGCCTGACTCTTACGGCGAGCTGAGCGTGGCTGAACCCTCTCCACCCTTCCTCTCACACACACGCTGTTTCTGCAACGCTGACACTGGCTTGTGTCTTCCTTGGGAAAATGCCTCCGTCCTCAGCTGGAAGAGGAAAAAGCGATGAGCCAGTTTGTCATCGGTCTCCCAGCACTTCACACTGCAACGCAGTCGTGTCCGGAGGGCGGCTGCTCCAGCCAAACCTACCTCCCAGTCTGGGAGGGTGAAGGGAGCCAGCGCACGGCACGAATCTTCCAGCCATGAGTCAAAGCAGCAGCATAACTAAAACACCCGATACCCGTCATCTCGTCCCAAGTCCCTCCACCTCATCGTCCAGCCCCACTGATGGCCGCGCAGTTCCCTGGCTCTGGAGGAACGAAGACAGCACACAGAGCAGAAGAAAAATGTGGTCTGGACATGGGTAGGACTGCGCTCCTAACAATACGCAGCTATTGGCAGGGGGAAGAATACCGCCCTTGTGGCATGCTTCTGTCTCTACCAGTCCCTGATTGAAACTCGGAGCCAGCTGGGGTTCGGCCGCAGGCTCTGCTGACCCTCGCTGCAGCGCAGACCCGAGGCATGCTCAGAGCAGCGGCCAGCAGCGAGACGCAGGCTGCTGGAGGACGGGGCGATCGAGATAGATGCTCGGCTTGCAAACTGTGAACGCCACACAACCAGGCAAGGAAGCAGAAGAGCTAAGGAAGGCCAGGCCGATTGAGGAGGTTAAATACACCCCAAACGTTGCAAGAAGAAACAGTTCTGCAGACGAGTGTCTTTGTCCAACCCGTTTTGGGTCCCTCTCCAAACATTTCCTCACCAGGCACAGCCAGCCATCCCCGATGAGCCAGAATCAACCTTGAGCCTCAGAGGATGCACCCATGTCAGGTACTTAGATGACAGATCACAGTATCTAGGAAAATGACTGCCAGCCTCCCCAATAAATGCAACAGAAGAGGCAGGGAACCCGAAGGAAAAAGGCTTTTTACAGCCATTTCCCCCGACATTCCCTAAAGGGAAAAGAAATTCTGGAGATGGGAAGCTATGCTTCGAGACATCTGCTCCCTTTGCTTTTACATCTACCACAGATGTCCTTAACGCTTGCTGTAAAACAGGAAATACAAATACGAAAGCTTATATGAATAAAATAATAACTTCCTACTTAATCTTCACAAGAGATCAAGCTATTCCAGATACATTAATAAAAAAGCTTCCCAGCACATAGGAAATGCAAAAGAATAACCAAGCACAGTAAGAGTGAGGACGGGCAAGCCTAAATAAGACAGTGTCAAAAACAGTCGATAATAAGTTAATGTGCCTTCATCCTGAAGACAAACAGAGCGCGCTGCCACCAATTGTCTCTAACAGCAAGGAGCACGCCAGCTCGGGGTGCGGTCGCATCCAATCTCCAGAAAACACCATCCAAGCTGATACTAACCACAAACTTCTCGCCGTTTTGCTCCACGTGCTTGTACGTGGGGATGGAGATGGGCACAGCTTGTTTTTCCGTGTAGTCGTAGAACGACTGCCCCAAAGAGTCATCGCTCGGATCGAGATTATCTGCCTCGTGGGGAGGCACAGACAACACCGTCAGAATTAACTCCTTCTCTCCTGCGCGAATCAGGTCCACCACTTGCTTGTGTGTTGCTCCTTCGACATTCACCCCATTCCTGCGAAAGAGAGAGCAGAAAAGCCATAAGCGAGGCCGAGGTGACTGCAGAGCCTTCAAACCACGCCAGGACCCGCCCAGAGATCCATCGCATATCTGCTCCCCTCGAAAATCCCTCCAGCCTCAACTGCTCTGGTTGCGCCAGTTTCACTCTGGTCTAAACTTCACTAATCCTTCCTATTGATGATTTCTCGTGCTATTAGTTACTGAATTATGTTTAATGACTTCAGACACAACTGAAACTTCTTTAAGGCTCATGCGCCCCCTGGAATATTTAAAACAGGTTTTGCAGTTTTTACCATCTCAGTGGTACGACATGGCACGTTCGTACCCAGAAGGCGAGCCTTTTCCTGTCAGCTAAAGGCAAATGCAAGGAGACCACAGAATTGGGGAAGAAAACACTGAATGCCTAACACATACCATTCTGCCAGGGCAAAGCCCATCTCCTGATCCTCTACAGCTCCAAAACGTGAGTGAATTTCCCTAAACCCGAATTGAAGCTTCCAGGTGAACAAGAATGAGAAAGCAGGCAAGGAGGCTCAGAGAGCAAAGGTAAGCGACTTCAGAAGCTGGTGCTCCCATCCACCAAAGACACAGCACCCATGAGCACATCTGCTTCGGTGCAACATAAAGGAGACACGCGTTCCCTTCAGTTACTTCTAGGCAAACTGCTCTGCCTTGCCCCAGACAGCCCCGTGATCACAAGACCTCGTCCCAGTTATGCCCCAAGCCCTCCAGGAGCCCCATGGAAGCTCTGAAGACCCAAGACATACCCAAGCCACCTCTAAAGCATTCCTGACATTCTTCTTCTCCCTGCGAGCTCAGTTAACCATTGCTTGGGTCTTGCTTTGCCCAGAAGATACGGACCGTACCTTGGCCAGCCTGGAAAGATGCCGGACCTATGACTTGATTTCAAAGCAGAGAGAGCCGTTAGGTTCTCTTCCAAATCTGGAAAAGGACAAGCCTGTTCTTCCTCCTGACAAGAGCTAAATTTAGTAGCAAGTCTCCATAAACTTGCAGTCATCACAAGCGTCTCTGTGAAGAGTTTGGTATCCAAAACATTCCCTGTATAAACAGGAACAGGCAGAGCTTCACCCACTGCATCCCTACCAGTCAGCCTGGCCACGCTCTCGCAACGCTGCCGGAGAGCCCGTAGATCATCGGAGACGACAGGTCCCTTTCACCTCTGCTTCCCCGAAGCAGCTGCTTGGGACGAGCCTGGAACAAACCAGCCAAGGAGTTTCTCACCGCTGCTGAAGCAACACCGGCAACCACGCCACAAGGCCAATTTGTCTTCGCTCACTCCTAGGAATTTCTCCACCAGAAAGCCCAGCGTTGCCCTTATTCTGTGCTGCTGGCTACGGCCATTACCTGATGCTTCAGAGGAGTGCGAGAGGAAAGCAGCCTGCACTTTCCCAGCCACGAATCCTGGCCATGCAGGGAGAGAAAGGGCTCTCAAATACTCCCTCTGGCAATCAGCTACTCCTTCCCAGAGAGCCTGGGAACAGACTGTCATCATCTCACCGCTGAAGACATAGTGCTGGTCACAGAACCATCCCAGCTTGCCTTAAATCAAGCATGGGATTTAGCTTTCAATCCCCCGCTCTCAAATGAAAGAACAGCTCTTACCGCTTCACATCTATCATTTTTTTAATTGAACTTTTACTTAGAAGAATCGTCCTGGAAAGATCCGATCTCGACTTACAAATCTGGGTGAGAGATCCCAGGCTCTGAACCAAGTCTAAAAAAGCCCGAAGCGGTGCTTGTGAGCCAGCGACAGCGCTCGTGCTTTGCCAGGAGCTGGACAAGGAGGCTTCCCCCAGCTCGGACACTACTCACGGTTATCAGCCCTCTTAGAGCTCCTGTGTTGTTTCAGGGAAGGGATAACGAAGCAACCCTCGGATGCAGCCCCTGGGCTCTGTGTGATAAGAGTGCTCGAAGAGCTGTACACAGCTTTTACAGCAACAAGGCCGTTAAGTTCAGGAAGAGGGAAAATCCCCTCCTCACCGGCCAGCTCTTCCACAGGGCAGGAGCGTGGCCTCCAAAGCAGCAAATTCGGTCGCAGAGGGCAGCCCTCGTTACCGAGTCGAGCCGTTAGCCACCAACATCGTCACATTAAAGTGACATTTGCCTTCGTTCCACCTGACCGATGCTCACACGCTGCTCGCTTATCCCAGATCCCTTCCACTCGCTTAGAATAAACCCAGTCTGCAAAGTCCGACAGCGCCGCTGCCCAAGTATGATTTTTGGTGGATGGGGGTGAAAAGCCAGACTCCAGTCGTGCGGAGAAGGCTGCCGTTGGCCCACACCAGGAGGGACGGCAGGCCACAATGACTCTCCTCCGCGTGTCCCAGTCCTGCCCTGAAGAGAGAAGGACGAAGACAGGGGAGTTTAGTCACCGTCCCACACTCGACCTCGAGCCCACCTCCAGCCGGCAACAGGCAGAGCCCCCTCCAGCTGGCAGCAGGGGCTTTTGGATGACCCAGACCGCAGGACGCGCTGCTTAGTCTGCAAAAGTCAAGGCTGGTTTTTAGTTACTCAGCCCCAGCTAGACTGCAACGAGGTCTTCAGCTCCACTTCCCATCAAAGACACCACGCATTCCCTTCTGCCAGCAGACCGAGAACAAATACGCCGCCGGCTTCCTCCTCTTCCTCTCCCACACCCTCCTCAGCCCCTGGTGACTTCTGCTGCCACCCATTTCCTCCCCGAGCCGACACCAAACCCTGGGAGGGGGCAAGGACAGGACCTGGGACTCCCGACAATAAGACTGCAATGCATCATTTCATTCACAAAAAACCGGTAACACCCACTGCCGGCTCGCCATCGCTCCCAGCAGGTTTCCTTCTAAGATCAGCGGCTGCTTTAGTAGCAGCCCTGCTCGCCCCTCCGCTGTGCCGAGCAGCAGGAAGGAGCAGCGAGTACCACAGGCACACGGGGCCGGAGGACTCGCACCTTTGCAATAAAGTCACCATAGCAACTCAGGCTGGAATCATCATCGACGAGCTGACGAAGAAAGGGAACGGTAAATCATACGACACAGGCAAACCAGGGGCAGCTGGCAAGGCGAAGAGGAGCACAGCTGGACGACGCGCCGTTTACGCGGCCACGGACCTGCGGCATCCGAGAGACAAATGCACTTTTCCCAAGACAACGGGACACTCGGGTACTTTGCTCCTCAAGCTTCTGCCTCCATTTGGAGTTGGAAAAAAGATCCAGGCATTACCTTTACCCTCCCAGGGGATATGCATGGTCCCAGGTGAGGGCTGCTGAGCTGACCGCAGGGCTGGGTCTCTCCGTACCTTACGGAAAGGACGTCCAGATACAACAGCGGCAGATGACGACCAGATCCAACGAATCCTTCCCTCCACAAAGGAGGTACCGCAGACGGCACACAGCTCTCCTCTGCACGGGAGGGGAAATAGAGGAGAACTCTGCTGATGGTGGAGCAAACCGCTGCAGGATGGAGACCGCAGCCAGGCACGTGCAACCCCTGGTCAGGTCTGCAAGACTTCAGCAGCACTCAAAGAGCAACTTCCTCCGACAAATCACTTCTCTCAGCTGTCCACCACCAAACATGGATGTGGTTAAACCAGGAGCACGAGGTTCTGTCACCTTCCGCTGCAGAACAGTGTGCGAGTCTCCTTCCCTCAATGCCCGGCTTCCTCTTCGCCTCGCCGGGGATGCAAGCTGCCTCGCAGGAAGGTTACCGCAGGAAAGCTCTGAAGTCGGTGGGTAGAAGCGATGCTGGAGCTGTTCAGTGTGCTGTTGGACTGGGCAATGCGGAGCCTTTGCACACTGTCCCGCTGGCAGGGGCATCCCTGCCTAAACAGAGCTGCAAAGGGGCTCCCAAACGCTCTCGCCTTCCCCCAGGGAGCTGGAAAGAAGCTGTTCCCCTCCTGGTGCTGGATATGGTCAGTCTAGCTCGATACTCGCCATGACTAAGGGCTCACGTTGGCTGAGCTGAAGACAACATAACCCCAAAGCACTCGTTACCACGTTTCTGTCGGCGATCGTCTCCCCACAGCAGAGGGAATACACACCCGTGCCACAGTCCACAGTCCAGCACGCCGGCGAAGACGCCTGCCAAGGCAGGCCTGGGCTGAGACTCCGGACTGTGACCCGAGGCAGTGGCACGCTTTGCTGCCCGCTGACACCGCTGCGAGGGCAGAAACCCTGGCAGGCGTGGGGCGAGATCAGGCACTGCCAGCCTCGGCACTCGCCCGTCGGGGCTTGCCTGGTGCTACGGGAGAAGCCAAGCTCTGGGAGTTACAGCAGGTTATGCTTAACAAAAGATCTTCAGCCTGTGGTTCGGCAAGCTCCTGACGCAAAAAATACATGCTGGGGGGCAGAGCAGACCGGTGTTTGTTCACCGTGATGAATTTAAAAGCCTCTTCGAGACTGAATTTCCAAAGGACTAGGCTAAAGACGGTGAGCAGCAGCTGCGGGCTGGCACGGTCCCCTGGCTGGAAGGAAGATGAGCTGCTGAAGCACCCCACTCGCTCCCCGAAACCTGCTCTCTCCGCCAGCACGGTGCAGAAAATGTCTCACACCAGCTGCGTTTGAACCCGGGAACACCTCTCAGCAAGTGTTCTCGGCAAGAACAGGAACTGCTGGCAAACACCGGGAGACCCTGAGGACAAAGCATGCGTTCAACAAAGCAAAATTCCCCATCATGCTGACGCTAACGATCAAGATCCCCAAGACACAGAGAATAGCACTTCACTTCTCCCATTTGTACACCAAATGACTCATTTTCTGCAAAGACTTCTTAAAATTTCCCAACTATCTGTCTGTCAAGAGATGACAAGGAAATTTACCTCAAGAAAGCCTGCAATAAGCTTCCTGGAGATTAAGACCACAGCCTGCCTTTGTGCATTGTTCAGGCAAAGTACTGACCAAGCTGACAAACCGTCCAAGGAAAAACACCCCAGAAACTACTCAAGTCATCTTTAAGGCTTTGCTTTTTAGCAGTTGAGCACCTTCAGCCATCCCACGCTACCAGCAGGGCCACCACGGCAAAGCACAAGTCAAAGCCCAGCTCTGCGGTCAAGGCAAGACCAGCAAAACCTGCGTAAAACGAGCACAGCTGTACCCGTCTGGCATCGCACCGCTCTCCCACCCCAGTGTGACAGAACCAGGCTGGCAAGAGCCTTGCCGCGTAGATGTGGCCTCAAAAAGTACGACTGGCAGCAGCTAGTCGCACCACAACTTCACGTGTCGCCTGTCTCTTAATGGGGACGGTCTGCCAAGTCCCCATCTCCCCGCGCTTTGCATCTTCCAGCTCCTGACGCTTGGCTCAAAACACACCTGGCTCCAGCTCCGTCCAGGGCTGTACGTTAAGCCCACAAAATTCAACACATAACCAAGAAGCTCCCTGCACTCCTGCTTCCCCTGTAACACACCCTGTTCTCACCAATATTCAGCTGCGGGAGAGATTTTAAGCACGGTGCTGAGACAACAGCAGCGGTGACAGAGCACTCTCTGCTCTGAGAAGAGCTGATGAAGGAAGAAGGGCGCTGAAGATGAGATCCAGCGGCAAGGGCAGTCACCACAGGGATCAGCAGCCTCCTCGGGAGAGGCTCTGGAAATAAAGATGAACAGCTAATGAGCTTACTGGACACAGCAGTGCGGGACAGCTTCTCCAGGCCTGCCGTAGCAGCTGCAGAAACAGGCGCTTCATCGTCTTCATCCCTCTCCCTTCTCAAATCCAACTAATGCCAAACACCGAAACAGCTCCACGCGACGCCACCGACAACATCTTATGGGGCGCGTTTGCAAAGGGGCAGCTGCTTCGACGGTGCCGGCTCCCCTCCACCACTCCTCGGGAGAGCGATGTATTCGCCTGACCGATCCCCAGCAGCTTTAACAGACCCTGCTCCTTGCAGCTTTATCCCAGAGGAGCGTTAAGTTTCTCAGTTGCATGATACACCCGAGACCATTCAAGCTAAACGGTTTCCCCGACAGGCAGCGTGTTTCCCCGGCTCCAGCCCCAAACTGCTCAGTCCCCAAAGCCAGACGGCCGTCGGCGCAAGCCTTCCTCAAACTGACCCATCCCAGGGCTCTTCAGCTGAGGCCGAAGCAGTATTTCCCCATTTCTAATCGCCCAAAAGAAGGGAAGCCAGCCTTCCTCTTTTACAGCTAAGCAATCCAGACCCCGTCCCATATCATTCCAGATTAAAAAACCCCAAGACAACACCAACAAGCGCAATTCTAGTGACCTTTCCTATTTCTCTGATGTGGGAGAGACCAGAAGAAGGTTGGGATAATTACCATTTTCACAGAAGCCTCTTACAACATTTTAAGGAAGATTTAACGTCTCTGTGCATATTTACATGCATTGCTCTGGCAAACAGTGCGACTGCCGTTCACCCGCTCCAATCACGAGCGCAACGATTCCTTGCAAATTAACACTTCTGAAACACCCTGAAAGAAGACAAAGGCGGCTAACATTTCAGAAGGTTAAAAACTAAATATTACTGAAAAGCAAACACGTACTGAGCTATTAGACTTGCTGAAAAAGGAACAACATTTTGGACACTTCGGAAAGCAAACCTGTACCAAATCCACCCTGGAAACTCAGGAGCAGTTAATTGCAATCAGCTTCTACACCAGCAATAGGAGACACGATCTAGGTCAAGGCTTCCTTGGGTTTTCCTTCCCTGAACCATCAGCAAAACCACCCTGAGAAGACCAGAGATGGACAGGGCTGCTAGACCGCAAGCCCCGGTGCTAGCACAGAGCTGGACTTCTAAGCGTAACCTTTTTGACCGACATCAAAGAAATTATTTTTATCTGTCCCTTTTGTAGACCCAGATTCTCCTCTGGCTCAGTTCAAGCTGCTGACGACCAAGCTCAAGCCCGTGACAGCAGCTTTGGTTTCCCAGCCGCGCTCTTCCGCAGAGCTCCGAGCAACATCAGTGAGCCTCCGAGGACTCTGCAGACCACACGCTGAAACCACCGTCATGAGACGCTCCTCCAGAGATGCCAGTGAAGAGCCCGGCAGGGTCTCGCGCTCCAGCTCTTCGAAACAGCATCCCAGTCCAACAGCAGCCTGGAGTACGGGTGTTCACGAGGCCTCCCAATGACGTTTCGGTCTGCAGCTCGCATCTGGCAAGCACAGGTTTGAATCCCAGTAAAAGGAAACTCTCCCCCCGCCGCCTCCTCAGTGCTCAGACTGGTGAGCAAGGAAGGGAGACGATGGGCACAAAAAAAGCCACCGCAACACACCGGGCACCAACGCCCAGCACATCCCCAGCAGCTCTTCTCCATCAGGAGCGGGGCGGCCGCTTCCAGAGAGCCTGCGGGGACTGACCCATTTGCTTCGTTATCGTGAGCCGAACAAAGCAGGAGCAGAGAGCGCAAGCGGCAGAAACGGGTTTAAATTCCTCCAGCTTCAGTCATCGTGCCCATTCCTAGGCACATACAGAGTTCTGTTTAAATATACTGCAGAAGTGTTAAACCAGGGTAGATAAAAAGGCTCTTGCATTTATCTAATTGTACGCTTAATGGAAAACCCAGCACACGAGGGTTCTTCATTTACCCACTGCTGTTATCTCTCAAGAAAGAAAAGATACGTTTGCCGTTTTTCACCAGCCTTATTGAGCACACCGAGCACAGGCTGAAAGGCGCAATCAGGAGACTCGAATTATTCCCAATTCTAATCTACAGCCTTAACCGGGCAAATTTGCCGTTTTTCACCAGCCTTATTGAGAGCACAGGGCACAGGCTGAAAGGCGCAATCAGGAGACTCGAATTATTCTAATCTACAGTCTACAGCCCACCTCAACCGGCCAAACCCCCCCCCCCCCCCCCCTTCAGCAGCCCTGCTCGTAAGAGGGGGAGATATGCTGACCCACAGTAAAACGCTCCGAAAAACGTGCGCAGGAAAGCGAGGGACGGAGCCTGGAAAGGTTGGGGCGAGTTCAGGAACGCTACCGGGAAGACGGTGTGTTTAGGAGGTGGGGGGAGGAAAGACATCTATCAGCTGGTGATTAGAGGGATTTTAGGTTCGCCAGGCTGCAAGCCAAACTCAACACGTTTCGCGAGTTCCTACTGCTGCAACCGCAGCAGAACAACAACCCACCTCTGAAGCAGCGAGGGGGCCGTGCATCCCCAGCGCGCCTTCCTCCTTCTCGCCGTCCAGGCGTGTAGGATAAAGCTTCCAGCACTGACTCAATCCACTTCCTAAACTGTCTGAGCTCAAGGGAAGAGACACCCTTGAAGGCTTTGGCCAAGGTAAAGCCCGCTGACCACTTCATAAGGCGATTTTCTGGCAACGCGCCCTTTGTGCGAGCAGCAAAATGCTGCGCGTGAGCAGGGCACACAGCCGCCACCTCCTTTTTACAGACCGTTCCGGACTTTTCCAAAGCAGAACCAGCTTTTTCTGTCCCAAGTCGATACACAAAAATCAGACGTTAGACCAAGAAGAGATAAGGAGTTTAACCTCCTGAGGGAAACGCCTCGTACCCCGCACACCAGGCACAAGTCACTCCCCAGGAGGGTTAGGAAGAAGCCGTCTCTGGTGGGGGTTATTCCACCAAGACCCGTATCGAGGGGCACGACACCTTCCCTTGAAGCAGCCGGTGCTGCGACCGTTTCAGACGTTTCTCTGATGGAGGAACGAGTGATGGAGACCGATTCTCTGGTCTGGCGGGGGTACGGTATCCCCCTACCCTCGCAATCACACCTCGATCGGACCAGTTTTCCGCCGTACACAGTTCAATAACACTGAGAACAAATCCCTTCTTTATCTGCCCAATTATTTTTGAGCGAGCTTCCCTGCAAACAGAGCAAACGCTAGTGAGATTTTCTTCCCTGTCAAGATTAGTTATGATTGTCATTCAGGGTGATAATCAAGAACTAAATTAGCTTTCATTGTCTGTCCCCAATGCCCTCAACACCCACAAACACACAACCAGCTAAGAAGATTAGAGAGCACGCCATAGCTATGTTGCAAAACCAGCCTTCGAAAGCAAGAGGTCTGAGCTAGATGCTGGATACGGGAGCGTGATGCAGTGAAGGATGGCAAGAAAGGATTTTGCAGTGCGGACAGGACTCTAAATAACCCTTCAGACAACACCCGAAACATCCGTTGGTTTTGGATGAGGACTGGGAAGCAGGTTGCGCTCCACCTCGCAGAGGAAAACCGCACTCCTGTTACCGCGGCCGGAGCCCTCGGCCGTGCAGGGACGGGAGGTCTCTGGGTCTTCCAGCACCGCGCACGCCCAGAGCGGGCTGAGGAAGAGACGTGGGGCGACAGACCCCACAGACAAGTTACTACGTGCTAAATATCCCATTACTCCGCAGCAGCAGCCACAGTTGTTGATTCCATCATGGCCGCGCAGTGGAAGAATCTCGTCTCTCAGGCTCTTGCTCCAAAAAACACTCTCCCAGGCCAGTTTGCTCAGAGTTGGAAAGAAATCCCCGCTCGGAAATAAACAGCCTGTTCAGAGAACACCTAACCTGCAGGTGCTTTCGGCACTCAAACACGACGCGAGATCTGCAAAGGTGCCGAGCGGCCGGCAGTTCCTCCCGAAGCCCCGCTGCCCAGCTCCAGACCCACAGCTCGGCTTTCCCCCGAGTTCACCGCGACTGCCGAACCCGCCGCGGGCCCTGCGGGCAGGCGAACGGGGCGCCGGTATCGCCGTGCCGGGGAGGCGGCAGCGGATGGGCCCCCGTGCCTCCCGGGGAACCCCACCCCCACCATTGTGCGCAGGGTGCTGCTGTGGAAAGGAAGGGAAATCAGAGCTATTTTTGGAGCCGTGTTTTATTGTTTTCTACTCCAACTCACAACCCTGCTAAGATTTACTTGCAGGAGTTGGATTTTAACAGACCCAGGGAGAATTAGCGTCCTCTTGGCAGAGCGTGCCAAGAGACGTGGGGCGTTCACGCCGCCAAAACGTGGCTGGTACCACGTAATATTTTTTGGGCTGATTTATGCAGCCAGGTTAACAAAAGCGATAGGCGATATTGGAAAAGGGCGAGAGCCAATCTGGCAGTGCTACAAGAAGATACATGGGCGAATTAAAAGCGACTTCTCCCAGGAGAGGAGAAGTGGCGGAGAAAGCAAGAGGAATCCCCCATCCTTCCAACCACAGCTGCTCCCTGCCCCGGGGAGGGGGAAGCCAGGGGTCCAGAGAGCCTCGAGCAAACGCCCCTCGTGCCCCCTCATTAACCATCGTTATCTACAGGTCTTAATTCTTTCAAACGCAGCTGCGTGGTTCGGCGACAGACTAAAGGTCAGTTCCTCACCTCACGCCAGCTGAGACGCCGGGGACCAAACCCCAATTCCAGCGCCGGCCTCAAAACCTACCTCTGATTTCAAACACAGCATTTTAAGTGTTTCCCCACAGCGGGCACAAGGGAGAATTTCAGCTCGGCACCTTGCAACGCATACAAAATATTTCCCCTCGGTCAATAAAGGCTGTTCTCTCAAGTAGATCCTCCAGGTGCAGAATTCACCCCCCGAACGGTTCTTCTGCACAGAAAAATCAAAGCATAAAGTATTTGGGTCACATGGGAGAGCGCCAAATCCCAACAGCAAGCTTTCTGCAGGGCACGGCCGGCTCTCTAGCCACGGGCTAGTCAGAACAGCTCTTCTCTGCTGGGCCCAAACACATGCTGTTGTCCTTCACACACTGCAGCCTGCAAAGACTGGCAGCAAAGCATTCCTGCTGCTATGAAATCCCTGTAATTAATAAGTAATTGAACTTAACCAACTCGGCATGAAGTACAAATACGTAAGGATCAGGAGGTATCGCACGGCTCAGCACGGGCAGAACCAACCCCAAGAACCACAAGACGAAGGGGAACACGCTAAGAAAAATACACCTCGACAGGCTGAGGCTACAGAAAGCCCTCAAAGAGATTTAACCGATGTCAGTCCACAAACACGGGCTCAAAGTTTAAGATATTTTTTTTTCCTGGGGGGCAGGGGGGGAAGATCGGTTTCAACACAGCTGAAGCACTCCCATGGAAAGATGTCTTCGGGCTCACGTTACAATACTTGCTGTCGAGAAACAGCTACCGCACAGCCCTGGACAACCCGAGGTCCCAGTGACCGAGAGGAAGAAAAACCAAGCAGCCGGTCCCATCCCTGAATGTGCATTTCCACCTCTGCTGCCTTCTGCAAAGCCGCATGGCTGTCGGGGGGGGGGGAAGGCAGGCCACCAGCTCCAGAAAGCACCCCTCCCTCGCCCCAAAGGAGCCCCCTGCCCTCCCCAGGAGGGTCTCCACGTCGAAGACCGAGGGTCCCACTCACCGGAGGAGGGTTTGCAGCCTCGCACACCTCGTCCTGGGCCCCGCCAGCTCTCTGCGAGGGCACCCGTGAGCTCACCCAGCCCAGTACCAGTTTCTGCCAGCCACGGGCCCTTCCCCCTGCTCTCCCCCCACAGACTCTCTCAGGATGAGCTCCCCCTTCCTTCCAGCCACCTCCTTTCACATCTCCTAACCTACTTCCCCTCCTTCCCAGGGATCTCTCCCAGGAACAGCTTTTCTCCAGGAGCTCAGTGCCTCCCCAGGCAAATCCCCCACTGCGGCCACCCCTTTCCACCAGCCCCTTCCCGGCCAGGGTCCCTGCGGGGAGGCAGATCCGTGGACATGGCTCCTACAGATATTTCTGCTGCCTATGAGCCCTTTCTGCTCTGCAATCCAAGGGATGCCCCCAAAAACAAAGGTGGGGGGAGAATCTCCCCAGGGATGAGCTGCTGAAGGGAACCCCAGATTCACCCTCCAAGGGAGGGGCTCCTGCCCCCAGAGGGGCTCTTTCCTGAGGCTGCAACCCTCAATCCTTCCACACACCCCACAAAGAAGGGGATCCTCTAAAGAACTGACTAAAAAAAAAATGAGTGCCTCGCCTTCAAGGGGATGGAGACTGTTTCCCTCCGCCCCCGAAGGGGTCCCCCAAATCCCTCAGGAAGGAAGATGCTGGCCCACAACTCCCTGTTTAAAGAGGTACCCTAAAACCCTCAACGAGAGGATGAAGACAGTCCACGCCCCTCTCTGTATAAAGGGGTCCCCGGGGATGAGAGGCTGGCCCAACCTCCTCATAAGGGGTCCCCAAAGTCCCCAGTGAGGGGAGGCCAGACCCCCTAAGGGCTCCCAGTGAGAGGAACCTGTCCCAGCCCCTCCAGTAAGGGCTCCCCAAAGCCCCCAGTGAGAGGGGACCAGACCCAGCCCCCTCATCAGGGGCCCCCAAAACATCTGGGCAAACGCAGCTCCTCATAGGAACGTCCCCCGCGGCACGCCCCGACAGGGGTCCCCCCAAAGCCCCGGGTGAGAGGAGAACAAAACCAGCCCCCTAAGCCTCCAGTGAGGTCCAGCCACCCCCATAAGCCCC